GGAAGACTGGCCCTGGGCTAACATCCGTGCCCATCTTCCTCCACTTTGTATGGGACGCCGCCACAGCATGGCTTGCCAAGCAGCGCGCATGGGATCCGAACTGGTGAACCCCAGGCCGCCGCAGTGGAGCGCACGCACTTAACCACTTGCGCCACGGGGCCAGCCCCCACTGTTGGGATTTTAAGTATTATGTCTGAGAATTATTTCAGATCCAACTTTGGCTGTGTTGATCCTCTCTATTCTGTCTTTCTGTTTCATCAGTTTTTTTAAAGAGCAGTTTTTTAGAGCAGTTTCAGGTTCACAGCAAAATTGAGAGGAAGGTACAGAGATTTCCCATATACTCCCTGGGCCCCCACACTCATAGCCTCCCCCACTATCTACATCCCCCACCAGAGTGGCATGTTTGTTATAACTGATGAACCTATGTTGGCACATCATCATCACCCAGAGTCCTTAGTTTACATGAGGGTGCTGTCTTGGTGTGGTACATTCTGTAGATTTGGACAAATGTATAATGATACATATCTACCATTATAGTCTCATACAGAGTAGTTTCATCGCCCTAAAAGTCCTGTGCTCTACCTTTTCTATTTTTTTAAATTTATTTTTATTTTTTTATTTTTTCCCCCAAAGCCCCAGTAGATAGTTGTATGTCATAGCTGCACATCCTTCTAGTTGCTGTATGTGGGATCCGGCCTCAGCCTGGCCAGAGAAGTGGTGTGTCGGTGCGTGCCCGGGATCCGAACCCGGGCCGCCAGCAGCGGAGCGCGCGCACTTAACCGCTAAGCCACGGGGCCGGCCCTGTGCTCAACCTTTTCATCCCTCCCTCTCCACTAACCCCTGACACCACTGATCTTTTTACTGTCTCCATAGTTTTGTCTTTTCCAGAAGGTCACAGAGTTGGAATCATATACTATGTAGCTATGTAGCCTGTTCAGGTTGGCTTTTTTCACTTAATATGCATTTTCCTTCCCTCCATGTCCTTTTGTTGACTTGATAGCTCCTTTCTTTTTAATGCTAAATAATATTCCATTATCTGGACTTACCACAGTTTATTTATCCTTTCACCTACTGAAGGGCATCTTGGTTGCTTCCAGGTTTTGGCAATTATGAATAAAGCTGCTGTAAACATCTGTGTGCAGGTTTTTGTGTGGACATAAGTTTTCAACTCTTTTAGGTAAATTAGTATCCCCATAAATTAGGAGTGTAACTGCTGGATCGTATGGTGAGAGTATGTTTAGTTTTATGAGAAACTGCCAAACTGTCTTCCAAAGTGGCTGCAGCATTTTGCATTCCCAGCAGCAGTGAATGAGCGTTCCTGTGGCTCCGCATCCTCACCGGCGTTTGGTGTTGTCAGCGTTCCTGGGTTTTGGCCGTTCTCATGGGTGCGTATCTCGTTGATGTTTTAATGTGCAATTCCCTGCTAACATAGGATGTGGAGCATCTCTGGATGCTTATTTGCCGTCTGTATATCTTCTTTGGTGAGGTGTCTGTTAATGTTTCTGGCCCATTTTTTAATCAGGTTGTTGGTTTTGTTACTGTCAGGTTTTAAGAGTTCTTTGTATATTTTAGATAACAGTCCTTTATCAGATATGTCTTTTGCACATATTTTCTCCCAGTCTTTCATTGTCTTTTCATTCTCTTGACAGTGTCTTTCCTAGAGCAGAAATTTTTAATTTTTTTTTTTTGTGTGAGGAAGATCAGCCCTGAGCTAACATCCATGCTAATCCTCCTCTTTCTGCTGAGGAAGACCGGCCCTAAGCTAACATCTATTGCCAATCCTCCTCCTTTTTTTCCCCAAAGCCCCAGTAGATAGTTGTATGTCGTAGTTGCACATTCTTCTAGTTGCTGTATGTGGGACGCCACCTCAGCATGGCCAGACAAGCGGTGCGTCGGTGCGCACCCGGGATCTGAACCCAGGCCACCAGTAGCGGAGTGCACGCACTTAACCACTAAGCCACGGGGCCGGCCCCAGAAATTTTTAATTTTGATGAAGTCCAGCTTATCAATTTTTTCTTCCATAGATCATGCCTTTGGTATTTGTTTCTACGAAATCATTGCCAAACCCAAGGTCATCTAGATTTTCTCCTATGTTACCTTCTAGGAGTTTTGTATTTTACATTTAGGTCTCTGATCCATGTTGAGTCACTTTTTGTGAAGAGTGTAAGGTCTATGTCTAGGTTCATTTTTTTGCACGTGGATGTCCACTTGTTTCAGCACCATTTGTTGAAAAGACCATCTTTTCTCCATTGTCTTGCCTTTGCTCCTTTGTCAAGATCAGTGGGCTGTATTTATGTGGGTCTGTTTCTGGGCTCTGCATTCTGTTCCTTGGATCTATTTGTCCTTTCTTTTGCCAGTGCCATGCTGTCTTGATTACTGTAGCTTTATAGTAAGTCTCGAAGTCAGGTAGCATCAGTCCTCCGACTTTGTTCTTCTTCACTATTGTGTTGGCTATTCTGGGTCTTTTGCCTCTCCATGTAAACTTTAGAATCAGTTTGTCGATATCCACAAAATAACTTGCTGGGATTTTCATTGGGATTGCATTGGATCTATAGATCAAGTTGGGAAGAACTGACATCCTGACAATATTGAGTCTTCCTATCCATGAACATAGAATATCTTTCCGTTGACTTAGTTCTTCTTTGATTTCTTTCATCAGAGTTTTGTAGTTTTCCTCATATAGATCTTGTACATATTTTGTTAGATTTATACCTAAGTATTTCATTTTGCGGGGGTGCTAATGTAAATGATATTGTGTTTTTAATTTCAAATTCCACTTGTTATTTGGTAGCATATAGTTTTATGTCTTCCTTCCCAGTCAGTATACTTTTTATTTCCTTTTTTTGCCTTGTTACATTAGCTTCCAGTATGATGTTGAAAAGGGGTGGTGAGAGGGGACATTTGTGCATTGTACTTGATCTTAGTGGGAAAACTTCTGGTTTCTCACTGTGAAGTGTGATGGTAGCTGTAGGTTTTTTGTAGATGTTCTTTATCAAGTTGAGGAAGTTCCCCTCTATTCCTAGTTTTCTGAGAGTTTTTATCATGAATGGGTGTTGGATTTTGTCAGATGCTTTTCCTGCATCCATTAATATGATCATGGTATTTTTCTTTTTTAGTCTGTTGATGTGAAGATTTACATTAATTGATTTTATAATGTGCATACCTGTGATAAATCCCACTTGGTCATGGTATATAATTCTTTTTTTTTTTTAATATTTAATTTTATTTATGTATTTTCCCCCCAAAGCCCCAGTAGATAGTTGTATGTCATAGTTGCACATCCTTTCAGCTGCTATATGTGGGACGCGGCCCCAGCACAGCCGGAGAAGCGGTACGTCGGTGTGCGCCCGGGATCCAAACCTGGGCTGCCAGCAGCGGAGCGTGCGCACTTAACCGCTAAGCCACGGGGCCGGCCCTATAATTCTTTTTATACTTTTGTGAATTCAACTTGCTAATATTTGTTAAGGATTTTTGTATCTATGTTCATGAGAGACATTGGTCTGTGGTTTCCTTTTCTTGTAATGTCTTTGTCTGGTTTTGGTATTAGGATAATGCTGTCCTTATAGCGTGAGTTAGGAAGTACTTTCTCTTCTTCTGTCCTCTGAAAGAGATTGATATAATTTCTTCCTTAAATGTTTGGTAGAATTCAACAGTGAACGCATCTGGGCCTGGTGCTTTCTATTTTGGAAAGTTATTAATTACTGATTCAATCTCTTTAATGGATACAGGCTTATTCAGATCATCTGTATTACTTTGTGTGAATTTTGGCAGCTTATATCTTTCAGAGAATTGGTCCGTTAATCTAGGTTATCAAATTTTGGGGCATAGAGTTGTTTATAGTATTCCTTTATTATCCTTTTAATTTCCATGGAATCTGTAGTGATGTCCCTCTTTCATTTCTGATATTAGGATTTGTGTACTCTTTCTTTTTTTCAATTTTATTCATCTTTTTGAAGAACCAACTTTTGGTTTTGTTGATTTTCTCTATTGATTTGTGTTTTCTTTTTTTGTGTGTGAGGAAGATCAGCCCTGAGCTAACATCCATGCCAATCCTCCTCTTTTTGCTGAGGAAGACTGGCCCTGAGCTAACATCTGTGCCCATCTTCCTCCACTTTATGTGGGACGCTGCCACAGCATGGCCTGACAAGTGGTGCCTCGGTGCGCACCCCGGATCTGAACCCGGGCTGCCAGCAGTGGAGAGCGCGCACTTAACCACTACACCATGGGTCCAGCCCCTGATTTGTGTTTTCTACTTTAATTTTTATTATTTTTTTTCTTCTGCTTACTTTGGATTTATTTGTGTTTTTTTTTTTTTTTTTGATTTTCCTAAGGTGGAAGCTTAGATAATTGATTTTAGATCTTTTTTTTCCTAACACATTCAATCCTATAAATTTCCTGTAAACACTGCTTTTGCTGCATCCCACAATTTTTATAAGTTGTGTTTTCATTTTCATTTAGTTTAAAATATTTTTAAATTTTTCTTGAGATCTCTTCTTTGACCCATGTGTTATTTAGAAGTGTGTTGTTTAATCTTGATGTATTTTGGGATTTTCCAGTTATCTTTCTGTTATTGTTTTCTAGTTTAATTCCATTTGTGGTCTGATAACAGACACTGTATGATTTCTCTTCTTTTAAATTTGTTCAGGTGTATTTTATAGCCCAGCTTGTGGTCTGTCTTGGTGAATATTCCATGTGAGCTTGAGAGGAATGTGTATTCTGCCCGTTGTTGGATGAAGTAGTCCATAGATGTCAATTATATTCAGTTGATTGATGGTGTTTTTTGAGTTCAACTGTTTCCTTATTGATTTTCTGCCTGCTGGATCTGTCCATTTCTGATAGAGGGGTGTTGAAGTCTCCAACTATGATAGTGGATTCATCTATTTCTCCTTGTATCTCTTTTGGTTGTTGCCTTACATATTATCATGATTTAAAAAAAAGAATGGATAAACAATACATGTTTGTCTTCCCACTGAAGAACAAGAGCAGGGACCTGTCTACTCTGTCAATGCAGCAATCCCTGGGCCCAGCACAGGATTTGGCAGGGGACAGTGGCCAAGCAACCTCTGCTGCATTCATTCGTTCACTGCTGTCGGTGACAGTCTACTTGTGTGTTACCTGTATACAGCATGGCGTCAGGGACCCCACGAACACCTTAGTCTTTCCCAAGCAGTGGATGACCACACCACGTGCACTCCTGCCCTGCCCCATGGCAGCCCAGCTACATTGCTCGTCCTCCCTAAGCCCATACTGACCCTCCGACCGCAGCAGTCAGAGCTCCTGAGCACGCCGTGTCTCTGAACCTACCATGTACGGAGCCTGGTATCTGTCTCAGTGCCGAACCCTTGTGTGAGTGTTGCAGTTTCCTGGGATATGCTAACTCTTCACGGACTAGGGCTGTGCACAGTGTGTCCTTGAATTCAAGGCCTTGATTGACAGATCGACTGCACTGGATATGGCCCTATAAACCTTGTACACGTGTGTGGATGTTCTGTTTCTTTTTCTTAGGTATTGTTGGAAGAAGCAAAGGATTTGCTTTCTGACTGGCTGGATTCCACACGTGGCAGTGAGGTGACTGACAATTCTATTTTCTCCAAACTGCCCAAGTTCTGGGAAGAGGAATTCCACAAAGACATGGAAGCCCTGAACGTAAGTGTTGCCGATTGTCTTGTCCTTGCTCTCTCGGGCCAAAGGCTGTGGTTACCCAAAGTCCTCTGTGACCCAGACCATCTCTATTTGGCAAGCTAAATCAGGTTTACAATGAGGCTGAGGGCTGCAAGGGGCTTCCTGGCTTACATTTGGACCTCCTGGTTTCCTGGACAAGGGAAGAACCCAGGACCTTCTCTTGTCATCCACAGGTTCTCCCTCCAGACGTCTTAACCCGGGTTAGCGAGTATGTGCCGGAGATCGTGAAGTTTGTCCAGAAGATTGTGGACAACGGTTACGGGTAAGCTCAAGGCCATCCTCGGGGCTTCACAACTTCCCGGGGAAGGTTTTCCAAGGAGAGCAGCTCTCCATCTCTGAGTCAGGATCCCGCAGCAGGAAAGCTTGTGGTTGTGGCACTGCGCAGGGCGTTAATGCCCTGGGGCTGCCATCACAGAGCACACGGACCAGGCAGCTTAAACAGTGCAAGCGTATTTGCTCACAGCTCCAAAGGCCAGAAGTCCAAGATCCAGGTGTTGGCAGAGCTGGTTCCTCTGGGGCCCTGAGGGCGAGTCCATTCCAGGGCCCTCTCCTTGGCTTGCAGCCAGCTGCCCTTCGCTGCCTCTTCAGCGTTTGTCACTCTGTGCACACGTGTCTGCTTTTAAGTCCTGATCTCCTCTTCTAATAAGGACACCAGTCATACTGGATTAGGGCCCACGCTGACGGCCTCATTTTTTTTTTTTTTTTGTGAGGAAGATCAGCCCTGAGCTAACATCCATGCTAATCTTCCTCCTTTTGCTGAGGAAGACCGGCTCTGAGCTAACATCTATTGCCAATCCTCCTCCTTTTTTTTTTTCCCCCCAAAGCCCCGGTAGATAGTTGCATGTCATAGTTGCACATCCTTCTAGTTGCTGTATGTGGGACGCGGCCTCAGCATGGCTGGAGAAGCGGTGCGTCGGTGCGCACCCGGGATCCGAACCCGGGCCGCCAGTAGCGGAGCGCGTGCACTTAACCACTAAGCCACTGGGCCGGCCCAGACAGCCTCTTTTTAACTTGATTCCCTCTGTAAAGACCCTATTTCCAAATTCATTCACCTTATGAGGTATTGGGGGTTAGGACTGCAACATACGAATTCTGGGGGACACAGCTGAGCCCATGACCTCGCCGTATCAGCAGCCTTGTTCACGGTCACCCTCACAGCAGGCCTCCTTCCTCTGTGCCACTTCGTTCTTAGCTTCAGGGTGGCTTTGTGAGAGAACCCTCTGGGTTTTCCTTGGTATTGGCTGCCATTCGAACAGGTATTTAGCTGTACAGAAAGCACCTCTTGGTTCAAGGCAGGCAGGAAGAGCAGGGTAGTGTTGACTGCACCCAGTCTGCCCTCGAAGCCCCTTCAGCTCTACAGCTCAGGGCCCTGCCCAGACCAGGGGCTGACCGGCCCCTCTACCAGAAAGCTCACAGTTAAGACCTTCAGTCACGGGGGCCCCGAGGCGGCATGCTGGTGAGCGTGGACACTGCCAGGTCTTCAGAGGCATCAGCCCCACGGTGCGGGCACTTTGAGAGTGCTCATCCTTGTGTCACATCCTGTGTCTTATCGCCTGGCTGTGATTCCACCACGCACCACTCCTGCCCTTGGTCATAGGGGCTGCCCCTGCCCCGATTTACCGTTCTAGCATCATCTGACTGCATGAAACACTTTTCAAGTCTCTGAAGTTAGCATTTTCAGAAATAGCCAGCAAAATGGAAGTGCATACAGGAACAGGTATCTGTCTGCAGTGCTCGCTCCTGTCTGCTGTGCCTCTTCTCTGAGAGAGCTGCTTCCCACCTCGCTGGGGAGAGGAGGCCGGTGGAAGCTGCGTGCACTGAACCAGGTGAGGAGTGTGAAGCTGCCGACATAGTGCCCGGAGCAGCGCAGGTTCTCCAGCAGTGATAGTGCCTCCTCTTTCTCCCCCACGTAACACGACCACTACAGGGCAACACGACATCGTGTGCCAGGCTGGGATAATCTGGAGTGCTTCTGGGAGGCAGAGAGCCATGGCTGGGCCATGCAGGTGGGTAGAAAGTAGACAGAGAGGTGGGGGCATGTCACATGGGTTGTATTATCACCAAGGCAAGGGGCACGACGGGAGCTACACGGTCACTGGATGCAAGGCAGAGGGTCTGTGCAGAGTGACACACTGACCCCGGAGTGAGGAGTTTGCCTCTGCGGTGTGAAGTGTCCCTGTCATGTCCCCGCTTAGCCCATACAGTGGCTATTGTTTTGAGTAGCTGCCTTACAGAGCTGCAGGAGCAGAGCTGTGTGCAGCCCGCAGCCTGTGACCCTTTGGATTTCCAGGGTGTCACACTGTGCGGCGGCTCTGGACTGTCTTTGGATCTGTAACACTTTCCCCCAATTTCTTTTGTGTTTTCCAGCTATGCTTCAAATGGGTCCGTCTACTTTGATACCATGAAGTTTGCTTCTAGTGAGAGACACTCCTATGGGAAGCTGGTGCCCGAGGCTGTTGGGGATCAGAGAGCCCTGCAGGAAGGGGAAGGTAAACAGCCATGGGAGAAGGGGTGAGGGAGGTGAGGCCGTGGCCTCACACCTGCTGTCACGGGCCCCTTGATGCACCAGGAACCGTGCATTTTCACCTGATGGGATTTGGGGAGTCTTCTACACAGAGCCCATGAACTATGGTATTGTTTAAGAAACAAAGAAGAGAGCAGATACAATGCCATCTATGTTGAAAAGTACAGCACACCTCAGGGCCTCGATCCTCTGGGCTGGCGTTTGCCAGTTTATCGACACCCAGAGCGCCTGCGGGTCAGGCTGGGTTGTGGGACGCTGCGTGTGTGAGCGTGTTGGAAAACCCAGAACTAGTGTGTTAAGAATATGCAGATGATGACCTGCTGAATGCGGGGGCACGACCCACCCACACGGGGTCAGCAGGTAGCTCCCTCGGCTCCCTCCGAGCCCCACTCTGGGGAGGTGAAAACCCCAGGGTCGTTTTGACTGAAGGCACAGTTTCAGTACGTTCACACAAAGGGGTTTATTACCTACAGATCCCAGAAGCGAGGGGGCAGTGAGTGGGGGAAGGGTCCTCTGTCCCAGGTCCCGAGCCAGCAGGAGGTGGAGAGCGGGGTGGCAGGCCCCTATTACCGAAAGGTGGTGGGGGCAAATGTCACTCACTGTTCTCGGGCTCAACTCTGAGTGGTCATGTTAAAAGGTGCCCCAGGAGAAGCAGAGGGGAACTCGAGACAGGCGTCCCAAGCTCGGGGCCTCTCTGGACGTCCAGACTCGTGTGAGCAGGGCTGTGGTGCTGTGAAGGGCCCGGGCAGCGACTCACAATGGCTGTTGCCTCATCACAGCGAGTGGCACATACACGATGACAGCCCCCATGCCCATCTTGACCCCAATATTTTAAACATAGACATGAGGCGTTTTCTGGACGAGGCCGAATGTATTTGTCTTTCATCAGTGTTTTCTCCACTCTTACTCCCTAAGTGAGTCTGTGGATGAAACGCAAAACCAGCAATCCCACGGTGCAGGGATTGCTCTCACCCAGCGGGACATGCGCTGTATTTACCCGCCACTGTTTCTGGAAGGCAGTTTGGCCATAAAAGTATTCATACTTTTGATCCAGTAATTTCACCTTTAGGGCTCTATTCTAAAGAAATATCAGAACCTAAAACAAAATAAGACAGCACAAGAACACAGAGAAAAAATGGACTAAGTTAGTTTAACAGTGTTAATATCAGACCTAAAGGCATTTAAGGCTAAAGGTTCATCAGCGTAGAGGAGGTGACTTCATGATGCTAAAAAGCAGCCCGTCTCCCAAGAGGACCTGTCATGGACTTGTGTGGACCAGACAGCACAACCTCCACACCCTGAAGACTAGGAAGTAGACACGGCCATATCTGGAAGGGGAAGTTAAATGCACTTCCCAGAAATCAGGCAGGCCAAGATTAACAAGGGTGTGAAAGGATTGAAATACACAGTTAATGGCCCTGGTCTACGGGTCAGAATTTCACACCCAGGAGTTAAGGAACATCCACTCCTTTAAGCACATGCAGGACCACACACCAGGCTGCAGAAAGAAGTCTCTGCAAATCCCAAAGAATCCCGTCTCACGGAGATCGAGGTCTCTGACCGCAGTGCAGGGAATTGGATATCAACACTAAAGGGACATTCAAAATGGACAAGCCTGTTTAAAGTCGTACTCCTGAGTAACTTATAGGAAAAGAAAACCATGGTGGAAATGACAGAATGCTTAAAACTGAACAGCAGGAGGAGTGCCACATAGCCAAATGTGGAGACTGCAGCTAACGTGCCTATTAAAGGAAATTTGTTTTTAAATGTGATTATTAAAAAACAACGTTTGAAAATAAGTGAGGTAAGCGGTCAGTCAAAAAGCTAGAGAAGGACCAACAGTAAACTGAAAGGAAGGAATAAAGAAAAGCAGAGATGAGTGAAATGGAAATAAGGTAGAAAGTCAGCAGCTGGTTCTTCACAAAGACTAGTAACAAAAAACTTCTGGCAAGACTGATTCGGCAAAATAGAAGATCCAAAAGTACATTAGGACAGAACCGAACAAAACTATAGGTGTTGTAGAGAGTTTTAAAAAGTCAGAGGAAACTGAACACCTTGCACTGCATTTGGAACTCGGATGCAGGAGGAATCGGGCGAAGCGTGAGCAGGGCGGCCCCAGGAGGGAGAGCAGAGGGGCCCAGCTCCAGTGGCCACGCCGAGCAGGACACTGCGCAGGCAGCGAGGGCCCACGCTGCCACGTGATGAATCTTGCCATCTGACCCCACCTGGAGGGTTCTTTTTAAATATCACTTGTTCTTGGACCTTTTTTCTTCCAGACGGACTTTAGAATCAGTTTAAGTTCCAGGGACGAGAGGAGTAGAGTCCAACAGCAAATACAAAGGGACGGAGAGGGGCATGTGTTCCCTTTGGGGACATTTCCACTTCTGCCCACTGCAGTGGTCACACTCAGCCACATGACACCTCAGTGCAGCAGGGAAGCCTGGGAAGTCTTGACTTTCATCTAAGCCTTGGGCCTCTACTGGAGAAGGGAAGTGCAGTAGTGGGGACTGTGAGCCGTCTTGGGCAGCCTGCCTGCTCCGCTAAGTAGGACAGGGCCGCAGAGGCCCACGGCTCGCAGACCCCCAGGGACGCACGGTGGGAAAGCCACATCAGGGAAGGTGCCCAGTAGAGACAGTACACAGACGGGCAGAGGGAAGGTGAAAATTCTCCTGATACGGGTGTGGGGTCGGGTTATGGAGTCGCGTCGTGGTTGCCTCTGGGGAGGGAGACGAGAAGTGACACCAGGAGGGAGAGCAAAAGGGATTGTGTGATTTACTTCTCCTGCTTAAAAAATCTGGAGCAAATAACAAGTCCAGTCGTGTGCCACACAGTGACGTTTGCTCAGTGACTGACCGCATAGACGACAGAAGTCCCATAAGATTAGGACCATACAGCCTAGGTATGTAGTGCGCTATACCATCTGGGTTTGTGTAAGAACACTCTATGATGTTCGCACAATGACAAGATGGCCTAACGACACGTTTCTCAGAATGCCTCCCTGTCACTAAGCGACGCATGACTATATTGCCAAATAATGACATTCGTTGAAGAGTGGGGGAGGGATGTGTGTGTTAAGAGAGAGAGATCATCGTCTTTTCTGTTACACAGTTTTTCAAAATAAATTTTTAAGAGTCAGATAACATTTATGCACAACTATGTTTATAATAAGGAAAAATTAGAAAGCTAAGTATACACTTACCTGTCAAAGGGTGGCTAAAAGAATGCCACAGCGCCGTATCAAATTACGTTTTGGGATAATTGCTGATGATGTGACGTGGTAAAACGCTCATAGACAGTGAGAAAATAGATAAGAAACTAGAGTGGAGTGTGTCCGGTTTGTTGGATGTGTCTGTGTTTTGCTTGTGTAGTTAAAAAGAAAACACAAACCTACAAATCAACACACCAAAACATTAACGGTAATTCTCCCTACCTTTATGATTATGGCATTTTTTTTCCTTTTTGCTCTTTTTCATGTTTTCCATATATTCTACGTTTAGTACCTGTTTTATAATCGTAAAGTTTGTGTGTTAGGATATCTTTAGCAATGCTTTCCCTCTCTACTCTGTTTTCAAGGTAGCTTAGGTATATGGCCTGATTCGTTACTAGAAAATGTGCATTTATCCAGGTGTTGTTGGGTTTGCAACCCTGGACACCAGAGTGAATCTGTCGTTCCTGTTCTGGAGTTTTCCATGAGGGGGCGACGGCTCGCGGGAGAAGGCAGCATTTAGACCAGGCACCAGGAGAGGGGCCTGGCGAGACCCTCTAGGGCCCTAGTGCAGCGCCGAGGCCCTTGCTCTGCCCCGGTTCGCCCGGCTTTCACCCGATCACCAGGGGGACTCTGCCTGAAGATTGGACTGATTGGCAGGTTTTCATTTTCACAGCAGCTGATGTGTCCCTACACGTGGTCTGGAGAACTCTCCTGTGGTGACTGTGTAGTCCTTTTCTGGGGAACGGTTATTTCCCATCACTCCTGCCAGTCATAGACTGGCTCACCCGCCCCCTGGGCCCGGTGATGACTGGCTCTGTCTGCTTTCTGGGGGCCTTGTCCAGGAAACTGAACTTGCCCCAGGAGGAGCAATGCTCCGTCTTGCCTTTGGCTTTCAGAGACTGTTCTTTAGCCTCACTTCCCTTTATGAACACAGAGGGACAGTGAGTGTCCCCATTTTCCACTCCAGGCCCAAGAGGCCGCACACAGCAGGCTTAGCTCGTCCTCATACCTCCCCAAACCACAGCCGAGAGTCGTGCAGGCTGTTAATACGAGATCCCACCGTAACATCGCCTCACCCCATAGATCAGAGCGCCATCACTGATCCTAACAAGGGGGCCGAGGATGTGAGGAGTGGGGCGGGGAGGTGGTGGGCAGATGAGTATCTGAGGCAATGGCCCAGGGGTAGTTGTCCTTAGACAACTGAAGGTTGTCTGACTGCCTGTCTTGACTGACTGACCTGCCAGTCAGTCCAACCTTTAGGCAGTCCAACCTTCTGGCTCTTAGTTGATGACTTCTGAGCTTATAAATAGGGTATGGTAAATCTAGACAGTGGGCACCATCAAAACCTGGTCATGGTAAACCTGAAGAAGTGCTTGACCGAGTTAATAAACAGAAACAGTCAGAAAGATTGACCAGCAGGCACCAAAAATGGCCCTGAAGTGAGACGATCCCACCCATCAGGCAGCGCTAAGTAACCTGCTTCCCTCGTGTCTGCAGGTGACCTGAGCATCTCGGCAGACCGCCTGAGCGAGAAGCGGTCCCCCAACGACTTTGCCCTGTGGAAAGCCTCCAAGCCGGGGGAGCCGTCCTGGCCGTGCCCATGGGGAAAGGTGAGCACCCGAGGAGGCACTGGGCTGGCGGGGTGGTGGGACATGGTCACACAGAGCCCCTCACTGCAGCATACGCCCGCCCCATCCGGGGACCCGGAGCCACAGAACCTCAGAGGCCTTTGGACACAAGGCTGGGGGTGTAGGCGGATAGGACCTCCTTGGAGGCCCCTCTGTCCTGACAGTCTTTGACTCTGACGGTTACAAGCTTCTGGGTACGAGTCTGCCTTGACATCCCCTGTGACAACAGTCCTGATGACCTGGAGCCACGGGAGGGGGGTGTTGGCATCTGCTTCTGGTTGAGTGCTGGCGAGTTCTGGAAGTAACACAAGCCTCAGCACAGCCTCGGCCTACACGAAGCTTGTTGTGAACTTGACAGAATGGGTTCCCCTTGATATTTTTGTTTTGTTTTTTGTTTTTTCGTTTTTTTTCTGAAGAAGATTGGCCCTGAGCTAACATCTGTCGCCAATCTTCCTCTTTTTTTGCTTGAGGAAGATCCTCCCTGAGCTAAGATCTGTGCCAGTCTTCCTCTGTTTTGTATGTGGGTCGTCACCACAGCATGGCTGCCGACAAGTGGTGTGGTTCAGTGCCTGAGAACTGAACCCGGGCTGCCGAAGCTGAACATGCCAAACGTAACTACTAGGCCACAGGGCCAGCCCCCACCCCTTGGTTTTTTCATGTGTGGAACTTGCTACCTGTTCCAGTATAGCTCGGAGGTTTTGAGGGTCATGAACATTGGAGCAATAAAGGCCTGGACATGGAGGTTAAACCAGTCGTTCATTGGTTGTTTGGATTTCTAGGGGCGGCCGGGATGGCACATCGAATGCTCCGCCATGGCGGGCACCCTCTTGGGAGCCTCGATGGATATTCATGGAGGGGGCTTCGACCTCCGGTTCCCCCACCATGACAACGAGCTTGCGCAGTCAGAGGTAAGCGGAGCCGTGGTCACTGTTTCAGACAGGCAGGCTGGCATGCCACCGTGATAGTGGAGGGAAAGATGGGCGGGCTGGCATGCCACCGTGATGGTGGAGGGAAAGACGGGCAGGCTGGCATGCCACCGTGATGGTGGAGGGAAAGACGGGCGGGCTGGCCTCCCACCGTGATGGTGGAGGGGAAGACGGGCGGGCTGGCCTCCCACCGTGATGGTGGAGGGGAAGACGGGCAGGCTGGCATGCCACCGTGATGGTGGAGGGAAAGACGGGCAGGCTGGCATGCCACCGTGATGGTGGAGGGAAAGACGGGCAGGCTGGCCTCCCACCGTGATGGTGGAGGGAAAGATGGGCGGGCTGGCCTCCCACCGTGATGGTGGAGGGAAAGACGGGCGGGCTGGCCTCC